ACAATTTCCATCATGAAGAGTAGTTTTGCTAACATATGCATTCCGTGCGAGGCTGTTTTCACTACACGGTTATAGAAATTCTATTCAGGGATGTTTTCATGGCCAGGATGAACAGAAGAAACTAATAACTACTGTATGCGTACACAGGCATGTGTGAACTACATTACGGTGAAACAGGCTCGAAGAAATGTGAATCACTGAATTACCGTATGCAGCCTCACAGAGCTGCTGGAGTGGACGTTGCTGTGTATCTGCTTACAGTAATGAAACACTACAAGAATAGCAAAAGAACACAACACGGTGTCTGTCTTTTCTGCGGCATGAATCCCGGTTTTCAACCCACCTCATTAAAATCTGTGAAGCACAAAAGATGGGAGGCTACGCTTGTTAATTATTTTGTTCAAACTACAAAGATGAGGGGGGAAAAAATCACAGCATCTTCACATAACAAAACTTGCTTTTTTTGAATTATTATTTCTTTATTCCGAGAACGGCGGCGTGAATATGAACGAGCGGCTCGGTTTGACAACACAATCAGTACAGGAAGTATTTAACACACAGGTCCTCGTTTCTGACCTTGAAAATCTTGATTGAGGATTAGCCGGAATAAAACCTTTATGGGTCATGAAATCTTAAAAAGGTGTTTTTTAAGGGAGGGGGGGACAATGCAAAATGTATGAGAGGCAGGGGCTACAAATCAATCCTGGCAGATTAGCAGAGATTGATGTGCTCCGTCCTTGACACATAAACCAAGTTTGTAATAAAAATGGTAAAAAAAAAAAAGAAAATGTAATTAAGTAAAGTCAAAGTCGAGGCAGCATTAATAACTTCTGTCAGCTTTCCAGATTGAAAACAAGAGTTTGGTCATTAAGCTCCTGAGGATGGGGCAAACAAACTTCATTCTTCCTGACATTTGATGCGGGCGCATCACGGTGATTGATACGAGCTGTCCCTGTCATATGAATGTAAAGCAGCGGCGGTATGGATATGCCAGGCAGCCATCTGTTGTTATTCTCTGGCTTGTCCTATACGAGCTGATGTGATGTGACAGTGTTAGAGGCACACTGGCAGTTTAATGTGACGGAGCCAGCCAGCTTCATAATCAATAAACTCTGGGCGCTAACTGACAGCCTACACCTCATCCATTAACAAAACACACAAACCATGCTTGACGCTTTGTTTTTACGTTTATGCTCTTAAAGGCCAATACACTCAATTTCTTCCTAACACATGAAAAAAAAACAAAAAACATAATACACCTGGGTTGCAAGTTTAAAAAAAAAAAGTTTAAATGAATGCAGTAACTGGAGAAAAGTAGTTTTCCATCTTCTGTTTCCTGACTAATAATTGAGGTTTCCACCAAAACCAGTGAAACAGGAGTTTTCTAAAATTACAATTATATTATAACTGATAGACTAAACTCATTAATGTTCAGCTTCACGTCACTTCAACACAACTCAAAGGCGGTTATTATGTCCCATTTTCCTACAATCAGCACCAAACCTAGGGGTTTCTGGTTCGAATACAAATGACAGATAATAAGTTATTATTGAATATGAGCTTTTTTTTCTCTTTTCCTAAAAAGTGTCCAAAGAAATAAGGCACGTGGAGGCAAGTAGACTTCTGGTGTGGTCGGAGCCATATGTATGTACATACGTGCAGAAACGTCTAAATGTAGCGTGACGGCGGGTTCGTGGGGGAGGCCGATGACTTCCGTTGTGGTTTCAGGTGCTCTTTCATTTCCTCTGGAGGTTTGTGTTTCTGCTCCTCTCCCTGGCCATCATCAGCGACCGCCTCTTCCTGCTGGACAGGGCTCCCAGGGGTCGGATCTTCATCTCGGTGAAGTCGAGGGACGTCAGGTGGCCCTTCCACGGCTCCCAGTTCACTCCCTGGCAGCAGCAGCAGCAGCAGCAAAAGAGCAGATCGAGAGGAAAAAGTTAAGTAAGACGACGTGAGAGAGAGGAGAGAGCGAGAGACAGGGAGGAGGGAGATGGAGGCCCGAAGAGGCGCCACAGACAGGCAGAATGACAAATAGTAATAAACACCAGCCTCTGGCTTCATTTCATGTGAGTACAAACTTGTTTTGACTGTTGTTGCATTTCGCCGACACACATTGCGGGAGACATCTGCAACGGCAATATTATGGATGAAGTCTCGACAAGAGCAGAGAAATCCCCCGGCATTTCCTTCAGTATCAGTCTCCCTTAGACATAATAACTGTTGTTGTTACCCTATCAGCCTGGTAAAAAACACTTATGGTTTATAGCTGGTGTGAGGAATGTGTTTTCTCATCACCGCTGATGGATTCTGGCCATTTCTGTTTCACCTCGACAATCCGAAACAAAACAAGCGGGAGTGGGCTGAGGTGAAGTTGTCTTTGATTGCTGACCAGGGACCAGCCTCCCGGTGAGCGTTTGTTGTTTCCTTTCTTGCAGGCATGTTTAGAAAAGATCCCAAATAACAGTGGTGCATTTTTTAATCATGATGTTTAGTTGTGTTTTTTGAATATTGTATTGAGTGTTAGAAATAATAGCATCTGAAGTAGCTGTTTGTTGTGAGCCCTGGTTGTGTATATTTCTTCTTTTTTTTTTTTTAAGTTAGCAGAGGTGCACACAGTGAAAAATGATTTTTTTAAAAAAGCAAAACTCTCCCTGACACTGTAGCTAAACCTCACAGCGAAGGTTTCCAATAACTGTTGAATTAAAAAACACTCTGTGAAAATTTTATTTTCCACACAGTCTTTTTGGGCCGAAGGAGTTCAGATTGGTAAACATAACGAATGAAACAGTTTTGGGATCCGCTCGAGGTATCTGTTTGGTCTTTACTGCTTTCGAGACAAGCTTACAGCACATCTTCTAATATTTAGCTGATTTAAATGGGAGAACTTTTTTACAAAACAGCCAATAATAAAGTAATCTAATGGAAATAATGGAATTAGTGCATGATCCAATGAGAGGTATATACACCTCATACTCCACATCAGCCACAACATTAAAACCACCAGCTGGGTATCGTATAGCGCTCCCTTGTGCCAGCAAAACAGGATCGAGCTGTCAAAGAATCATCACGAGCCCCGTGGTGGTGGGTGTCCTGTGGTGTCTGGCACCCAGATCCTTCAGGTTCTGTGTGTTGGATCAGGTTTGTTCTGATGCCTCCCACAGTTAGATTGGGATCTGGAGAGTCTGAAGGCCAAGACCTTGGGAACATTATTCTGCTCCTTGAGTCGAGCATTATTTGTAGGGTGGCTGCTGGGGGGAGGCCACAAGTGTTGGGGTGTTGTGTCTGGTCTGGAACAATGTTTAGTTGGGTGGTATGTGTCCAAGTACCATCCACATGAATCCCAGGAGCCAAGCAGAATATTGTAACAAGAACAATTCACTTCACCTGTCAGTGGTTTTAATGTTGTGGCAATCAGGGCAAGTGTCTCCTCACGCTATACTGTCAGTGCCCCCTATTGGTGTAAAGGCACGTTACGTCAGAAAAACCAGAGTCGATGATGTTAACGTTTCTGTAGCTTGTCCTTGATCTTGACCAGTGAATTAATGGCCCACCAGAAGCTCCAACAGCAGCAATTGCAAAATGTGTTACGGCAGAACTACATTTGGTCAGAGAGCCTTTTCAATCAAGGGCAACACATCGCCACACGAAATGAATGAAATGTTCGCAGATTTAAAAACTTTTAAGTTAAATCTTGGCTGAAAGAAAAACAAGAATGTACCCATCCATGACATCTGTAAAGGTCTGACTGACTGTGGATTGTGCCATCGTGTGTGTGTGTAGGGGTTTATATTGTCTGTGCTGTTTTTATTAGTGTTGTTGGTGCTTTGTCTATTTTTACTGAAAAGCTCAACCAGGGACGGGAGTTGAAAATTAGCTTAATGCTATACACTCTACATACAATACATCAGATGTTTTCTATGTTAAATGCATGATCAAATAAATAAATAAATGAATAAAAATAAATAAATAACCATATGCTCTACCACAGTTAGCTTTACATTGAATTGTATGCATGCTAATGTAGATAAATAATAGATTGCATTTCAATGTATAGTTTGTTTTTTCTAATCTAAAGTGCTTTACAAGGTGCCTCTCATTTATCCATTCCTTAACGCCACGCTCAAGGACAAATGTGCACCAAAGGAGCTGTAGATCAAGCGCTGTGATCGGTGGATAAACTACTCTGCTACTCCTACGCTACAGCTGCTTCCCCTCCAACCCCCCCCACCATCACCACCACCACCACCGCCACAAACACACATTTTGTTCTTTTCTAAAAAATCCCTTCAAAAACCCACGCTGACATGTTCCGAACCGGCTGGACAGCACCTCGTGACAGAAAATTACAGTTTAGTGTTGCAGAACTGCCTCCTTGCTCACTCACCGTGCTGTGCCTGTTGTCACCCCATTTGCCGTTGAGGTTGGCCAGGTGACAGTTTTTGTACCACCAGGCGCCACGGTGAGTCAAGGCACAGTTACCCAGGGCGATGTCATTATCCGAATCAATAGTAGTCCAGGGCCGGCCTTGGTGGTAGGTCATGGCGTCACCTGAGGATCATCAGCGACATCAGAGGTTTCACAGTTTGTCCTGTAAACAACTTGAAGCTCAAAAGAACGGGGCTTTATTCTGTCTACCTCTTCTCTATCCACAATATATTTCAGATTTTTGCTGCTTACCACGTTTGTTCCCTTAAGGAAGAAATTTAATAAAGTGCCAAACGGAGAGTGATTCAGTACGGCGGTATATGTTGCTTCAGCGCACTGTGGTATAGACGCAGCGTCCCACTTGCTGTGTGTCTGTATCTGTCTGGCTTCAAAGCTCGCTTAAACCCTGCCATTTCCAGACACCACATTCCCTATATAGCTACCGACTGTATGGAAGTTTCTCAAACAAATATCCCACCTGCTGTTGTTTTATATGTGCTTTCTCAGCACCCCACAGCACGATGGGTGGGGCGCCCACAGCTTGAACCACCTCTATTCATGCCCCTGTCTGTTTCATTGCTATATTTTCCATTATTTTTTTTTTTTGTCTATAACTCTATTTGTGTGTTAGAGAGAAATGTAAATTTGGAAAGCTGTGCATCCTCAAAGTCTCAGCCTTTTGTTTTTTTTATTATTATTATTATTATTGCATGTAGTTTTTTAAAAGGCTTAAGGGCAAAAATACTCACCTGCTGTCCCGCTGTATTTGCCAACAGTGAGTTTGAACTTCTGCTTAACTGGTGCAATCTTAAAGTCGTCATATACGGCGTAGACCCTCTCTGAGCCCAGGCCTAAGTCAAACCTCAGCTCATACTGAGTAGGAGTGTTGGTAAGCTCGTATATCTTATCCAGACCTGAGGGAAGAGACAGACGAAGAATGTGAAGGAGGGAAGAGATGCTCCATTGCTGTTCATGTGTGCATGTTTCAAGGTCTGCACAACCCCCCCCAAAAAAATACAAAATAAAAATAAAAAAACCATCGGAGCGCTCACCAATCCAGAACTCGTCTGTGAGGTTGCCAAAACCGGCTATGTACTGCCTCCAGCGCTTCATGAAGTCCAGCTTGCCAGTGTTACGGCGCTGGAGCATCTGAAAGGAGCATGCACAGGGTTTTCATGGACAGATGTTGCAGAAGCATTTCAAACTATTCGCTTTGGGTTGTTGGGTATTATGTCCACCGCAAATAATCCAGTGATAATAAATGTCAAATATGATAGTTAGTTAGCAACAAAGCTGGAGGACAGGTTTTAAAAAAAGAAAATAAAGACATCGTGTTTTTTTTTCAGTCTCATGACTAGAAAAAAAATGGATCCATAATCAGGATTCAGACCTTGGAGAGAAATTATACATTTGCTTTGATGTATAAATTGGTGGAGGTGTCATTTAGATCACAGATTTAGTGTCGTTAGTATTATTAGAACATGGTATTTTAAACATCTTGAGTTCATCAGTAAGTCCTACCAGCCAGCCGCCTCCATCAGTGTCCATGTCGCAGAAAACCTCCACTGGTTTGGAGCGATCGTTGGCAATATAGATGGTATAGACGCCACTGTTCCTGTTGCCGTTCTTCATGATCTGAACACAGTCCATGGGGAAGGGGTAGAGGAGTCCAACTAGGGAAGGGGATGCAGCATTATTTTATTATTGCTCATGAGCTGTTGTATTGTTGGGTGACGTTAAGGCACAGACCTGTTTTGAAGACGGTCTCGACCACTTTGCTCCTCTTGTAGCCCCTGTAGGCGATAATGGTCACGATGTACCTCTTCCCCATCTCCAGACCGGATGCAGTGAAGCTGCGCTCGCTGGCTCCGAGCTGCTTTTCAACAGTCTGACCGCAACACAGAACAGATGAGAATAATCCTGCTGAACACTCAGTATGAATCACATCATACGCTCAGATTTAATGTATACATGGTTCAAGATAAAAAAAAAAAGAGCCTTTCATCAAGTTCACTGTATGATTAATGACACTGTATTAAAATTCAGTTTAACACATGTATAAAATTGGCTCCTGTATTCTTTAAAAAAAAAAAAAAAAAAAGCTTATTTTGTTCCATTTGCTGCCACAAGAGGTCAGTGTTCCACAGAGCTTAAATTTAACTTGCACCTTTAGCCTCAGCCTCTTTCAGGCACTAAAGAGTTATCCAAATCGATTTAAAAGATTAGATAGGGAGAAGAGTTTTTTCCACAGGCTGTATTTTAAAAAAAAACAAACTAAAAAATCCCAGTACAGAGTAAGAGGATTTGTGCATCCTCCTACACGTTTCTACTCGAGGGTGTATTCTTTGTAATTTAATCCATCACTTGTATAAAACATGAGCTGTATCTGGACACCGCTGTGTCCGTGCTGCCCACCTTGTGGTGCGATGTGCATGTGAGAAAATGTGTGCTAAACCTCATGGCTCAGTACCTCCATGTTGCCCTCTTCATCTCGGTAGGTGAGGATGTAGCCCTCGATGTCAGCCAGAGGAGGAATCCAAGTCAAAGAAGCAGAGTCCATCGTCACATCTGCAGCCTTCAGGTCCTTGGGGGAATCAATTTCTGCGGGTATGAGTGTAAACCAGAGCGGATTACAGTACAAGAGCACGAATCCATTTATTAATATGTTACTTCTGGGTTTGATAAGTACTGGGGCTTTTCCTGCATTTATTGAAAAACACCTTTTTAGCATTTTTTGGTGCTTGAAGGTTTTATATTTTAATAATTTCTTTGCTATTTTTTTCATACTTTACTTGTGTTTCAGCCTGGAGTAGAAGCCATTCATCGCTCTTTATTCCCCTAATGAACCCGCGATGATGAGCGTGAGATTAATGTGTTTGACAGCACAGCTTTTCAGCCTCTCTCCATCTGAAGCACAGCAACAGTGATGACTACCATCTGCCGGCACAGTTACAATTTGCCTTTTGCAAATAAACTAGCAGTTACCCCCCCCCCCTCCGCCTCTCTGATTTAAATGCTTCCGAGGTTCGACCTGAAACAGACGCTGAAATAATTTGTCTGACACGAGGACGCCTGCTGGAGCGGTGGGAGCTGTAACCTCCCATGGCTCCAGAAATTAGAGGAGGCGCACATGTACGTCACCATGAGGTACAAAATCATCACAAACCATCTATTATTTATTAGGAGTCATAACTTTCAGCTCCCTTTTAGCTAAAAATACCCATCTTCCAGAACTGTGTGAACAAATTCTTTAGCACCACTGGTTTCATTAGCGAAGAGAAAAAGCAATGTGAAACTCAGCGATGCCGGTTTGACAGAGTTTCAGCTGACATATTAATGGCGCTTGTTACCACGTCCAGTAAAGTCACAAGTGTAATAACACGAGCTTTTATGAATCCCAGATGATATCTTTTGACACAATAACTTTCCTTTTTGAAGCCACAGCGGCGGTTTCTGATGACTTACGACGAGAAAAAGTTTATAATCCAAAACTTGGTCATTTGCTGCCTAATTGAAAGTTTTCACTTAGAGCTCCCAGGAGATTTTTACAGATCATCTGGCTTAGACAATGACACCCTTGTTGGAACCCTTTCCCCATGTGCTGCCGTGTTTTTACGCCACGCTAGAGTTTCGAGGGACAAACCCAACGACCTGGACTGGTCTGTGAGAAGCATTTCCGAAGTTTTGGTGCTTCCTGGTATTTTACATCCTCAGAAGAAGCAACTGTTCACTTTCTGAGAAGACTGCAGCTTCATAAATCAAAGCATAGATTGCCCTTCAGTATGCTTAAACCATCAAAAAAAATCAATTCCAGTAGAGCTACTACTGTTTTTGACAGTACTGACTGTTACGAGGATGACGCGAATCAATTTCAATTTACAGGTTGCTTTACATTCGCCCAAAAACTCCCCCGCACAAGATGCAAAAACCGCCCAAAGCTCTTCGTTCAAACCAAATTACTCCGACGCATTTTCTTACTCACTTAACCTCTGACCCTCGTGAATACCAGGATATGCAGTCCTCTTATTTAACATACACACTACACCCACTACTGAGGAATCCACAACCTAGGAGAATTAGAATAATAAGATTTCTGATTCTTGTCCTTTTCATCATTGGCTTTCCTGTGTCAGCACATAAATCTGCTAAAAAAAAAAGGAAAGTGACACCTCTCTGCTTCTGTGCATCCCCCAAAACTAGGACCACGTGTAGCAGAGCCTGACTGACGGCTTCGGCTTATCAGCGCTCTCAGATCTTTCTGTTAGCATTAATAGAGCAGTTAACCTGTTTGAGCTGCTGGATGTACCGAGCACCTGGGACCCATCACTGAAAGGCAGCTTTGTTTTAAGATGACAGCGTTTTTTAAAATCAGTCTCACAGCTACAGTACTTAGGGGGCCAGCTTTTTTTGATGCCTAGTAACAAAGATATTGTTAGGGTTGGTATGTTTAGGAGGTAATGTGAGGGGGCGCCTTCCCCCTTGTTAGCAAAATGACTAATTTGCACCCCTCTTGTTAACCTGCCATCCACCATGTATGTATATGTGCGTGTTAAAACAAATCCCCTACTGGTTGGGTCGTCCGTATAAGTATTCCATTACCTGACAGCATAATAAATCCTAAAAAATCCTGATTTCTGGATGTCATCCAGTTTTATTATACTGTGTTTCACATCATCTGTTTTTAAAATTAACGTTTAATTCTCAGAGTGAGCTCGTATGAACTTCACAATGAGGCCTCCTTTAATTGAAAAGCAGAGTTTTGAATAGTATTTAGCTTTTTTCCCCCCCAAATGCATCCATACATTTGAAACCAGAAATCTAGCTGTTACATTTTAAGTTAACTGATTAATTTCCCTTTAAAAAAAAAAAAAAAAAAGAGTCCTTTACTTTAATATTACCGAATGAAAATCCACCTGCTTATATTGTATTAACCTGTCTCGGCTTGTGTTGAAATCTTCCTGGTGGCTTTGCTCCCCTTGACGGCCCAGACGTAGACAGTGTAGAGAACTCCAGGCCTCAGGCCACTCAGCATGTAAGAGGTCCTGTCAGACCCCACTGGGATTTCCTCACTAGAGCCCTCAGAAGAGCTATAGGTTAGGATGTAGTCATTAATTTCTGCCTGGACTGGATCCCATGACACGCTGAAGCTGGACTCTGTTTCATCTCGGGCTAGGAGGTTAGCAGGAGCATCCAGTTCTAGAGAAAGATGTTAGTGGAGGTGGTTAAATATGCTACTCATGCAAACTACGAGAACTACTTATGCATACTACAAGAGGTGTTGTTTCATCTCTCACTAAAGTGGGAAGTGAAACAACCTAGCTTGGATTTGCTACAAGTTCTAGCAACATGACTGTGAGTGAATGAGGAAAAAAAAAAAGATGACTGCATAAACAGAATGCACCACAAAAAACACATGTTTAAAAAAAATAAAAAATAAAATCAATAGAAGGAAGTGGAAAGCTGGTTGCTTTGTTTCCCATTTACAGCTCAAAGTCAGGCAGCTCAGTTAGACGCTGTAAGTAACAGTGTCTGGCTCCAAAGGGGTCTCTTCGCTTGTGTCTTCATTAGATCTGTGATTACATCCATTGATTTCTGTCTGGACGTGGTCTGATGACGTGGTCTGATTGAAGATGGCTTCTGATTGAAGATGGCTTCTGACTTTCTCGGGCCAAAAAGGGATAGGAGGAACATCCAGCTCTGTATAGGGACATGCTTCTAGCAAGAGCTGACAAAACCAGCATGGGAGCCCACACTGAAGCCAGGCCTGCTGGCTGGATAAATCTAGCAGCTCGGCCAGAAATGCTGAATGGAGGAGTCATTCTTTTTAGGAAAATGGCACGGACAGACTTTGATGATGCAGACCTCACCAGTGAAAAAAAAGCGATTGAACGTGCAACATGTGGGACAGACCGAGTCGGAGCTACTGCATAAGGTTGAGACGTACAGACTAAATATTTCTGGTCTCACCTCTGGACACAGTGTTTGTTTTGGAGCCAGACTTATTGACAGACTGTGGTATTTATCATATTCAGGAACCACCCGCCGAGTTTGCAGGGTGGACATGCTAATAAATTCTGGCTGTTGCACAGTTGGAGATTCTGCTGTTGCATCAGCACGCTGCAAGGAGAATTTATTGCTCAAAGTATTCCTCTGAACTTGCTGGAAATTCCTGCTTTCTTTGCCTGGAATAATTTCAGGTCTCGGCTTTATTATGCAATATTATCAGGGTGCTAGGTGCTATGGTTTTGAAGATCAAGAGTGCTTGTGATTGTGGCAACTCAAGAACTGCCAGTGCACACGATGACTGAAAAAGGCTGTGAAAAGGAAGGAGTCCCTTCAGGCCTTCTATCATCCTCTTCTGTCAAATAATGTCTCATCCTACTCAGATAAGGTGTCAGCTGCCCCAAGGATCCAAGTAAATTGGAATTTTACACACGAGCGTAGTTGAACAAACTGAATGTTAGAGGAAATTGGCTGCAGCGATGCCGACATTATCTCAGATGGTGCTTGCGAGGAGACAGCTGAGCCAAAGCTTTGAGTTTTCTTGAGTCAATCTTCAAGCCATTTCTCACCTGCAATGGCAGACCTTGAGGATCAACTGAAATAAAGATATCATCGAATAAAAGAGGTTGAGATGAAGTTCGCCAACGTGTTCGCTAACCTCAGTCTGCGAGAATGAAGGAAGGGTTCATAGCTCTGAGAGGAAATACGAAGGGAGGTGGTTGAGCTACCAGCATGGCAATTGGAAGCGAGTGTTTTGGTCACTTGGAAAGAATAGCCTTAAGCCCCTCCTTTCCCTGGAGGTATGGCTGCTTAAGAAGAAATTGCAGGTTGTCCCAGGGCATGTTGGAGGGATTACACCTCTGAGCTGGCATGGGACTGCTCAGGAAGAGCTGAGGTAAGTTATTGAGGAAAAAGACGTCAGGCTGCTGCGCTCTTCATGACCCAAAGAAGATGTTGGCAAGTAGATGGATGAGCTGATGGTGGAATACATTGGAAACCTGCTTTAAACAAACAAGCAGATTCTGATCGGTCTACCATGTGAGACGCAATCTCTTTTTTCTTTTAAGGGTTTACAAGGGAGTTGCCTTGTTGTCTTGTCAAAACAGCTGTAAGCATGGGCTACCTGAGGCATTAAACATAAATGGACCAGACAGCTAATTTGGTTTAACAAAAACTGCTGCTTGACACCTGTCTCGGCTTGTGTTGAGATCTTCCTCGTCGCTTTGCTTCCCTTGATAGCCCAGATGTAGACAGTGTAGAGGACTCCAGGCCTCAAACCAGTCAGCAAATAAGAGGTTCTGTCGGGCCCCACTGGGATTTCCCCACTGGAGCCATCGGAAGAGGTGTAGGTTAGGATGTAGCCATCAATATCAGCCTGGACCGGATCCCAAGACACGCTGAAGCTGGACTCTGTTTCATCTCGGGCTAAGAGGTTAGCAGGAGCATCCAGTTCTACGGAAAGATGTTAGTGGTGGACATTAACACACAAACTACAGTAAAGCAAAATACAATGAACAGATGGGTGACAAATTAAAGCTGAAAAATATCAGATTTCAACTCAAATGTGCACCAGAGGGAGATTTTGAACTGGCATTTTGGACACATCTGTAAGACCAAATCAGTGAATATTTAGAATTGTAGTGATTTGTGAAACACTTTAGAACTCTTTGTTTATTTACTCTAATCTGTCAACCATCTATATATCATTATATTTAAGAGAAAAATATATAAGGATGTCATCAGTCAAGATGTTTCCTTTACATTTCACATTAGTTACTCAAACACTGAAGTTCTTTGATTTTGAACAGAAAGTTGTAGATGTGGGACCTGTCTCGGCTTGAGTCGAGGTCTTCGCGCTGCCTTTGCTTCCCTTGAAGGCCAAGATGTAGACAGTGTAGAGAACGCCTGGCCTCAGGCCAGTCAGCATGTATGAAGTGCTGTCAGACCCAACTAGGATTTCCTCACTTGAGCCCTCAGAGGAGCTATAGGTTAGGATGTAGCCATCAATTTCTGCCTGAGGGCGATCCCAGTACACCATGAGGCTGGACTCTGTCTCATCCTGGGCCAAGAAATTAGTTGGAGCATCCAGCTCTGCGTGGGGAGTTAGAGTTAGTAGACACGACTAGAATACATCACTACACTACATGACAGAAACTACACACTGCTGATAGAAAAAAAGAAAAAAGAAATAGAAATCAGCAGTGTGTAGTTGTATCCAGAGGTTAGAAACACTACAGAAGATGTCAAACGTGGATCAGACTTGTTCTTTTCCTCATTGAACAGATTGTTTGTGCTTCAATGTGAAAACTAAAAGTTGATCAGTTCTTTTAGAAGGCTGACATAATGTCAATATCACTTAATAAAGACAAATGTTGTGTTGAATCCAAGTTTGACATCACACGACTACGTAAGCAGTGGTACTATATACTATATTAATAAAAAAAACATGCAAACTATATAGAAGCACACATTATTTTTTTGCTAAGAGCACAATATGAAAGAATGATGTCATTGAAAACAACAATCCACTCGTGTTGCTGTATAGTTGCATTGATTTTGATATCTCAGTGCATTTCACTAGCTCATGCCATTAGAACAGATCACATTCCAACTTGGAAAGATTTACTGTCTTTTCAGATTAGCAGTGGATGTGGCAAGTTTCCATCTGTGGACAACTCTGCTGCAATAAATGGGGGAAAATGCAGTAACTGCATATTTGGTCAAAGTGGAGTTGTAGCCTGCATCTGCGTTTCTGAGATCAGTTTCTCTATATAAAACATATCTCTGTGCTGTAGGACTCATCAGGGTGGCGCGGTGTTGCAGTGGTCGGCACCGTCGCCTCACAGCAGGAAGGGTTTGAATTTATTGATCGGCTGGGGTCTTCGTGTGGGGAGTTGTGATGTTTTTCCCTTGTGTCTGCATTGGTTTTCTGTGGATGCTCTCCTCAAAAGTGATTTTTGATTCTAAAATTGTGAGCTGTCTGTCTCTTTGTGTCAGGCCTGTGATGGACGGTTCAGACTGATTTCCCACACGTTATCTATAAATGATGAATATCAGCTTTGACGAACTGACATTGTCATTATTAAAATTGTTAGTCCACATAACTAAACACACAAAGACAGACAAAGACAGACAAAAAAATAATCATTCTATGGAGGAAAAAAATGCTAAAAACGTGCCGAGGCTACAGCTTGATTTGTGCTGTCTTGAAATAATGGACTTGAATGTATTAAATAATCTGCCACAGCTGCCAGTAGTTTAACTTCATTTTACAGGGAAATTTGTTAGAGTGTGTATGAAAAAAATCTGTGAACAAAACGACAAATATCTGTTAAAAAAAAAAGACATTTTAAAAGGTTTAGATGAAGTGAAAGTGTGTGATTTTACAGCCACACATTATAAAAGAACATTGTTTGATTTGTTTTTTTGTGGAAATGATTTACAGTTTGTTTTTTTTTTTTTAAAGATTAACATGTAAATTAGTTTAAAAAAAAACAAACAGTTATTATGTGTAATTTAACAAAACAGGGAAATCTGTAAACTAATAGTTAAAACTGTTAGAAAACTCTTTTTTTTTTTTTTTTTTTTTTTTTACAGTGCAGCAGGACTGTGAGAAATATCTGCTCCCTTACTGTTCAGTATGTAAATGTCCTTAAAGTTTCTGATCCTGGTGCTCAGCTAAATTTTTACAACTACTTGGATAAACGCCAGTCAGTACTCAAAACTGTTCTTCCGCTGACTTTCTTCCGAAACGTAAACGCAAGCAGACAGCAGCAGCTGCTAACCTGCACAACAGTCAGATTAAGAGACAGGAGAACATACGAGACCGGGGAAACCAAATAGCCGGCTTTGTTGACGAAGCAAAATTGTCTCGTCTCAAACTTCTTATGGACATTCAGCCCCAGGCTAAACTGAACAGCCTTTAAACAATGTGTCCAGTCCAATTATGTAAGATAATAGTTTTTCAGTGAGAGTTCACGTTTTTTTTTTTTTTTTTCTCTCTCTCTCTCTCTTGGCAGTTATGATAAGTGGGGTTAGCGTGCTAAGTGTAAAATGTCTCCACTGATGCTTTTCACTCGGTGCCACCACAAAAAGACAAGAAAATTGTGCAGAAATCCAACAGACTAAAGATCAAAAGCGAATGATTGGTGCATTGTACACGAGGTCTACTCGAGGTGAGAGCATCTCGCACAAAGGAAGTAAAAGAAAACACCGAACACATCTTTCCCTCCTTTCACAGGCTGTAAAAGGTCAAAAGAGAGAAAAGAAATGCTCTGCGTTTGAACACTTTTCTGAGAATCACAGGTCAGTGTGCAGCTGGCAACAAACTGTACAGAGAGGATAAAAACACTTGTACACTTATTTGTTCAGAGCAGATTTACCATCGTGTTCAAAAGATGGGCTTGTGGTTTACGCTTTGTGTCTTCCCTCTGTGGATTTCAGCCCGGTGTTTAAACTCAGCTTTCCACCATTTACACGAATATAAAGGTCTTCTGTGAAGCTCTTAAATCACGGTGGACAAACAATCAAATCAGCGACTCAAAGTTTACCTGTTTCAGCTTCGGTGGAACTCTTCCTGCTGACTCTGTCTCCCCTGTAGGCCCAGATGTAGACAGTGTGGAGGACTCCGGGCCTCAAGCCGACCAGCCTGTACGAGGTGCTGTCACGTCCTACGGGGATGTCAGAGCTGGATCCCTCGGCGGAGGTGTAGCTCAGCATGTAGCCCTCGATCTGAGCCTGAACCGGATCCCAGGACACTGTCGCGGTGTCTTCTGTTACTTCGGTGGTCGAAAGGTTTGTTGGACTATCAATGTCTGAAGATGTAACGAGACCACGAAGGACGTTAGAACCAAAAGAACAACTGAAAAGTTCGCTCACAGATTTTTTTCATCAGCTCCGTCCACATCGGCTGTGGAAACTCCATCGGGCAGGAAGCACAATTTAATTGCACCCAGAGAAGAGAAAACAGAAGCCAGGAGATTCATCACTGAGATATGGAATATATGGTGTAAACAAAACAAACTAAGCAAAAACAACGGAACAGGAAGACTATTTGGTGGTAAATGGAAAAAGTCATAAAACCAGTTTCCTACTGGCAGGTATTATAAGATTAAACAACGCAGCCCGTGAGGAACTATTCGGAACAACAAACATCTGCCAGTTTATTACACCAAACTAATTCTCATGACTAAATCACAAAGAATCAAGGATACCTTAATTATCCACAAGGGGCAAATCGTTACACAGTCAGGAGTAATCACATAATCATCAGACAAACAATAAAAAATAGAAAATAAACACAAAGTTTAAAAAAAATCCCATTGAGTTTTAAGTCTGTTTGTGTTGCACGTTGGCTGGTTGTATTTGCAGACAGACAGACGGGAGCAACTTGAATTGTTAAGACAGGAGGTGGCTGGGATCAGATCGACTTCTCCTGACAAAATAGAGATGAGAAAGGTCACCCGAGGTCACGCCCACAGTTTTGCTGCATATGCGATCTGTTTCTAGTTTGAAAAGGTTAAGTGACCCATACCAGCTGACGAAGGACAGATTCAATAAAACACGAATAAAACACTTTCACTAAGTTATTGTTGACATCAAAACTTCAAAGCTTGCAATAAAAGTCCATGTGGTTTTTCTCCACACAGAAAAAGGCCCGAAGGTCAGGTTAGTGTTGATTAAAGTGCAGAGATTTTTTATCCTGCTGCCCAACCTCAACTGCCTGATCTTTATTTACACCGGGAGGGAAGACTATTGGATTCTTTCTCAAGTCAGTTAGCATCTCTTAAGGTTTAGACGCATTATTGTCCAAGAAGCACAGCTTATGCTGGTCTGTGAGTTCCTCCACTGCAGGGCTGTGATCAGAGGTTATTGCTGCTAAGAAACCGCTCACATTGGCCTTGGTTAATGTTAAAGTAGAAGACAAATACAAGAAAGTGAAAGGATCTCTCCCCTGGCGAGAACATCTGATGAAACACAGTGAACCTTCACATGTGGCGATCTTTTACATCGTATGACAGTTAAAAAAATAATTGGATATGTTTCTGCAATCCTGACTGCCTGGTATAGCAAAATAGTAGTAATCAAACTACTTGCACTGGTTATTGGTTATTAGTGATAGTTTATAAAACCACAAGACACATGCTAAGAAAAGCTGTGAAGTTTCTACAGAAGTGTTGCATACTGATTTAATTCCAGCCATTACTACTGTTTATAATTTAAAACTATTGCGTACAAAAGGTCCGTATGTTTCTGCTGATTTGGATCCTTCTCCTGTGAATTTACACAGCAGGTGAAAGATTTTGTGGCATTTCAATCAAGCAGAAGCACTGCACTTACATTGCATGGGGCAGGATAAGCACGGCACAACAATGGCAAACGTAGAGCATAAATCAAGGTTTCTTCTTTTGATTGTTTTAATGGAGTGTGAGCACAGGAAGCAACGTGGAAAGCAAGCTTTCAGAGCAGCACGAAGCACGTACAGATGACTTGACATGTACATTCTTTAACCTTTTCAGGAGGAGGGGGAAAAAAAAAAGTGCTGATTGCTGTCCTGAATGGTCACCGTCAAACTCAGGGTGAAAGGCCAGCAGTCACAGAGATTGGGGAGATGCAGCATTCATTTCCATGCGGGGACAACAGTGGGTGTTTTCAAACAATCTGTCCTTGGAGATACTCACAGTGCTGCATTTTTTTTTTCTCTCTTCTTGTGTACAGGGAAAATGATGGAAATAGTTGGGGAAAAAAAAAAAAAAAAAGCCTGAGAGAGATGTTCCTCTGCGCAGCTGGCGGAAGTGAGCGTGAAATTCAAATAGCTGGTTTTGGAAAGCAACAAAAATTGTCACAGTCCCTACAATTCTGACATGGGAAATGTGTGCGGGTAGGCAGTTTCTGAAGCCGTTTGAACATTTGACAAGCGCTCCTGATGGGCTATGCCGGTCCGTCAAGACTGAGACGCACAAATATTCTGCAGCAGTCAACATGGAACAATGGAGCAATTTGAAGGAATGCACTGATTGGTGTCTTTCCTTTTTGGTCAGCAGAGGATGCTTTTTCCAATATTGTGCAAATAAACTCATTGTTGAGATTTGTTTAGCATAGATGCTTAAGATGACAAACAAACTAAAGGAGAATCTGTTGTCTGGTTCAGCTGAAGAGCCCTGTGAAGCTGTTTAAGAGAACACCACTCGCACACAACCCAACACATGTCCTGTTCCCTATAAAGCAGGAGCCGCAGAGGGAAGAAGACGTAGGAACAGAGACCCCTGCGTTACCAAAGTCTGCGGGTTTGAGGAATCACAGGAGACATATGGGAGACGCAGGCGGAGCAGTTGGTGGCGCATGTGTGCGGACGGGTGTTAGGGTCTGTCGAGGCATCTTGGATGAAAGAGGGCAACAAAGAGACGGGAGGAACACAGAGGCACGGCAAGACAGGCGCAGAGGAAGTGGAGGGAAATGTAAAAGCAATCATCATTTAGGATTATTCCTCCGTGGCAGCGGCTCAGTCGAGGTCAGTCTTGTGTCAGCGTGCAGTCTGCATCATGAAAACTGATTCATGATGCATTAAGGAGAAAAAAGGAACTACGCAGCTGTCTAACTCCAGATCCTCTCTTTGTCTCTCCTCTCTTCTCCTTCTGTCACTTTCCCGTCCTTGCGGCTGCACGGTCTGACAGTCTGTCATGAGCTAACCACAGACAGAATTTATAATAGCGCTATTTTATTAGGGTTGAGTGTTTCCTCCAAGGCCTAAACGAATGAGTGGAAGTCCAAGTGCTTTAAGTGAGCAACGCTAAGTGAGCTGCACCGCGAGGAAGTGTACAAAACATGCAGGCATCCATTTAACGTCTTTGAATCATACTGTAAAATATATATGTATAAAAGCAGATTTCTCAATAAAAACAACTTGGTTCTTTATGTACCATATTGAACGTTCACACAGGCTGTGAACACTTTGCCATTACAACTAACAATCTCCCAGTTTCACACCCAAAGTGTGAGAATATGACTTGATTGACAAAGTGGCAGCATGTGGCTCCGAGCAGACTGTGTTTGCATCTTGTAATTTGGCAGCGACTGCGAAGCGACTGTCACTCAAACTTAAACAGGCCTGACAGACTTCCTGGAGAATGATTGATGATAAATTTAGAATCTTTTACAAGGAATACAGTCCGTACAGTCACTCTGAGGAAGATCAACTGCCGCTTTTATCTCGTTGCAAACTTTTTTGTTTGCGATAGAACAGAAAATGTTCTATCGCGTGTTGGACAGCTCAGAAAGAAAAGGGTTAATGCGTCTCATTTCATGTAAGAAAGTATTCTAAAAGTTTTGTTCTGTGTTATTGGAACATCCATCCATCCATTATCTATACACCGCTTAATCCTCACGAGGGTCATGGGGGGCTGGAGTCTATCCCAGCTGACTCAGGGTGAAGGCAGGTTCACCTGGACAGACAACCAAGCACACTCACATTCACACCTACGGACAATTTAGAATCACCAAGTAACCTCAACATGTTTTTGGCCTGTGGGAGGAAGCCGGAGAACCTGGAAAGAACCCACGCTGCACGGGGAGAACATGCAAACTCCACGCAGAAAGATCCCGGGTGTCCTCACCAGGACAAGAACCGGCGACCGTCTTGCTGCGAGGCAACGATGCTAACCACTGAGCCACCTTGCAGCCCATTATAGGAACATGCAGCTACATAAAATTCTGAAAATATCTCAAGTTGACTAAATGCTTTTGTTAATCTGTGCTCAGAGATGGGACTTAAATTTTTCTTTTTATATGTCATATTTATGCGTGTCTAATATTGCACATTCTACAACAATGGCACGACGAGAAACAACAGTGGAAATGTCAGGCTTTTATCTTTAATAGCTCCTGAAATATTGTCATTTAAACATAGTCTTGAATTTCAAAGCCTAATAAAATGGGTCAACATGCAATTTGAGAAAAAAGACATTTAAATTCCAGTAAGCATTTGATATATCAAGCTAAAGTTTCCCAGATGTTGTTTTAAATATTGATAGTTTATGATTCAGAGATGTTTGAGCAGAAGGCCCCTGATGATCTGAGAGAAACAATTATTCCTCACTACAAATTAATTGCTATCTGGTTCACAACCTTCTGAATACACCCTGTGCTCTATTATGCCTTGTTTTTTCTTTTGAACACAGGTTTCCTTCTCCCTCTTTGATGTTTTGTTTCACCCTCTGAACAAAGAAGTCCAATTCATTTCACTCTTATAAGCAGTATAGCTGCTGCCTTGACTGTCTGACAAATTCTCTATGTTATTAGATTTTTTTTTTTTCCTCCCCCCGTTCTTTTCTGGGCGCTCCCAGCCTACATTCGCTCTGAAGTTACAGAGTATGATGGATCCAGTTACTCCAGACGTTCTACCCCACTAGCTGTGCAGCGTCAGTGGCTATCGGGCAACACAACACAAGCTGTGGCTTCGGCCATTTGGAAAACAGCTTATCCATTATGGGTGGCGTGTTCGGCAGAGCCACTGACCACAAGGCACACGGTGACAGGCTGTCTTTCATCATTTGCAGCCTTGCAGCTTCGCGGCCCGCTGTACAGTGGAGAACCGCACAGCGTGTCTACAGACAGAGTCAATAGGGTTCCTTTCTTTTAGAGACTACAATATGTCAGGTGTGACTTATGCTTCGTCGAGGAGTCCCTTGGCAACCGCAGACCTTTTCTGAGGCTTGGCCAAGAATCTATATGTACCGTAAGCAGCTCATAATTCTTCATGACAGACCCGACTTATCTATACGGCTACATGTAGACCTAACATATGACATGAGTGACGTGAAATCTATTTCTTGCCATTATAAATCATCCTCTCATCATTTATCCACTATATAAGGCTCTAACAGTTCTCATGAACACACAATTTCTTTTTTTTCTTAGTTCCAACTGGGGATGTATAAATGCCATCAACAGAAACACCACTCTGACATGCAGAATTATGAACCTACAATAAGTTTAGCATGGATATTAAATGGCAAAAAGTTATAAATACACACAATTCTGATCTTAATTCAGCCCCAGAGTTACACAGTCCAACACAAGAAGAACATGCGAAGAGTTCATTTGCAGAAACAGATAACTCCGTCTTCACAAAGCTTCAGAAAACCCACTTTTCCATCGTCTGCCTGAGACAATATCAATCAAAGTTATCTCTATTTTTGTCATTTCTGCTGGGTGAAATCCACTCAACTTCAGTTTGATTGATATTATCTCGAGCAAACAACAAAAAAAACAAGTTTTCAGAAAATCTACAAAAATGGAGTTACCTGTTTTTGCAAATGAACTCATGTATATTTAGATTAAGTGCAAAAATGCAAGTTTTATAGCATTAAACATACAGTTCTCCTTTATTTAATTGCTTTTAGTTTTTGGATCCTGAAGAAAGGCTCTCTCGTCTTGTTTGTACTACTGTTGTATTGCACAGCAAAATGACAATAAACTTGATTTGATTTGATAACCTTGTCCAAATGTTATCCAGATCTAGAAACCACAAACTAAACAGCATTTTTCTGTGCTTGCTGCAGAGTGCATATTCACACATTGAAGCAGGCCGATGGAACTCTCCTACCACACCAATCTAATAAACAGACAAAGAGCACTTACACACACACAGTCTGTCAGTCTCAGGTTGACCTTTCATGAATTCCTTTTGAGTTCCCATGACTTTTATAAAATGTTCCTTCTCACATTTTCAACTGACATTTTTTTCTTTCCTCCAAATTTTAATGTAAAGAGCTAAAATCTCTGATGGACAAGTCAGAGCGGACGGGGAACTCCCACCGGACCACACTAGGTGCTATAGTGTATCCAGATAACATAAAGGCTCAAAATTCACACCCTTCGACTTAAGCCAAGCCATCTGCTTTGGGTTATAAAGACCTTGGTGGTGACTTTATTGAATCTGAATCAGCAGCAGAAGCCGTGGTATGTTGTGTTTATACACCTTATAATCTTTTGGCAGGTTGGTGTCTGTGAGACGTCTGCTCCGGGTGGAGATTCCTGTCTGCTGCCGCTGAATCATTTTACTTTTGGAAATGAAAGCAGCAGAAGGACTTTATAAAGCCACATACAGAATCACAGCGTGCACACTCGACAAAAGCGTATCTGCAGTGTATCACGGGCGGAGAGAGGACGGGTAATAGAGTCGCAACAAAAGCAGATATGGAAGTTTACAGTACATAACAAACATTTCATCTTGCAGAAAAAGGCTAAAGAAACTCTCACACTTGCTAAGTTATGAACATATTTCTATGTTTATACATCGTTTATGATGGGAGTTTTAATTCC